GGTACTGCTATAACCGTTCAGCGAAAATGAAAAACATGGTTTTGCGTTCCCTACATGCGTCCCTACAATATGCACAAAACCGTTTTGGAAAAAGCGCACCTTGCCCTGAAAGACCCCCCCCCCCCTTGTAAGAGCAAGTGCGCGACAGCGTCAACTCAAAAGTGCGGGGAGATGGCGCTAGAGTCGCGCCATTCCCATGGCCAGCGCTGCCATCCTTACCAATCGTAACATACATGGTGTCCGTGCTCTCTCGTGCACGACATACTCTCTCACGTTTTCCCTCCCCCTTCGCTGTTTCTCTCCGTCATACCACAGCCGACCTCACAAGGAAATTCCGGTGTTTAGCGCTTCTTACTTTTCCCCTAGCGTTTTCCGTCGCACTTCTCGTCTAATTTGAATAAAATAGCACACCGAATCGGTCCTGACCGGTGCCTTCAAGTTCATGCGTTCATTTATGCTAACTAAAGGGTAACACCAACTTCGGCGGGATTGAAAACTGATCTTAGGAATCAGCTCGACTTTTCGGCACGGATTTTGAATCCATGGCTCCTAATGAAATGGCTCTTGTTGGATGATGAATGCGGGCGTATACGAAGGAGTATACCTGTTACATGTCTACAACGTTTTCACAAAACATTACATTTTATTGCTATTCATTAAAAAGCCCAACAGACAATAAAACATGCTGCTCATAACAATTAACAGTGACATTTTAATCGAGTAGGCAATAACAACAACATCAACAATAACAAATTCTTCAACTTCGTACAAGATCATCGATCTTTAATAGTGGTTTGAAACAAGGAAGGATATTTTCTGCTGATCGGAGTGTGCTATGATGTATGATCTGTATCAAAGTTTCGATGAGCTGGACTTAGAGTGTGAGGTGTAGAATAAAAGAATAGGTTCAACATCGAAAAGATTATCAACATGCGGTAGACGAAACAAATTCATGGACCTGTTCCCTTATCAATGCAGATTACCGCTGCTCCCGGAAAGGGTTCCGCCGCAGATCAGACTTTGTGACACATGTCACAAACCGATAGCACCAAAAGCAGATAAAGCTCTCATGATTTTGAAGTCGTTCTTTGTTGTCCTCTGTGTTGTGCGCTTCTTCAAAACAATCACCCACCCAATCGCTCCGAGGAAGGGAGCCGACGATCTAAACAATACGATCGAACCTCTACATAACGCCTTCACAAGCCCCACTCAAAAATCTAATTCAATCTGTAAAGCCGGCGATTCTCTCCGACAAAACTATGAAGCCGAATGCTCAGCGTAATGCCCAAGGCTCTCAAGTAAGCGTCATGTTCTAGCATGACTGCTTATGGCGCCCGTAACGCGCGTGCCAAAAATTTTCGCTCCAGTGTGGTATCGTTATCATCGCGTCAAACACCCCATGAGCAATTTTTGGCAAAATCTGAGTACAGGTAAGTTTAGGCAAGCATTGATGGAAAAACCTGTGTGTACAGTCTTTTCAGGACTGTTGCAAAGAAAAGCAAAGAACAAAACAGCAAATTAACTGGGCCCACGAGCTCTTACATGAGAGCCCCACCCACCATCGCTGAAAATTCAGCCCAAAATCTGCCCCGAAAATGCACAGATTAGCGAGAAGATTTGAGTTACCGTTCAACAGTATGCATCTTTTCCTAGATGGCCACTGCAACCTAATGATTTTTTTTCTAAACCCAACTGCTGTGTTTTGTTTTCTGCGACCAGCCTTCCGTGCAAAATTAAGTACGGCCAATTCATATAATCCATGTCGCTTTTGTAAACTTATGTATATGGTGGCTGAAAGCAAAAGATCACTAGAACATAAGTCACCTTTACACCCATTACAACCCATAGGCTTCACACAGCCTCCTTCAGAAACGATTGCTGCTCACAACGATTTCAGTTTTTCAGCAACGAGCAACAAACAATCAACGCAGTACATACGGTGGATGCACGCGCTTCAGTATTAAGCAAAAAATTCAAAAAAAATTTTGTCGTGCTCAGCCGCCGTATGGCGACAGAGCCGCTCTAAACAACGAACGGAAATACGTCAGTGGGACCGTTTCAAAAAGTAACAACTGTAACCACAACAATCGGAGATTCAGAAAAGATTCGTGTGCCATAGCCGTCGCAGGAGAACGCACCCTCCTCGGAGGAACATCTGCTACCACGGGCGACTAATTTCACATTTTGCAGCAGCTACATAATTAGAAATGAGAATTGTCTCATGATAGCGCTAAATCCACATGACTATTTCAAATAAATAGGAACGTACTGCGCCGCAGTGGATCACCGAATTGCTCCAGGAGGATTCTTCAATCTTCACAACCTTCCGTAACTTCTATTCCTGGTACCCGTACTTCTGCTCAAATACCGGCTTCCTTTTCACATCCTTCCGAGCTTCTTTCTTCGCCTTCCTCTTCATGTAGTCATCGAGCTTATTATTCTTTTTCAGCTGATCGAATTTCTTTTCCATCTGCATCAGACGAACCTTTGCTGAAATGAACGCTGGTAAGTTCTCAAAGCACACAGAAAAGCGATCAGGCCATCCTCAGCGAACAAAGTAAAAAACCTGATACTGCTCACCTTTGGTTTTGAAAACTGGTCGTTCTCCTCGCATCATTCGTTCAATATTCTCTTGTCGTAACTCTTTGTATGTTTCCTCTTTCAATTTTCGCTCCGCCTTCGTTCGTTCACGGTCATCCATTCGACGAATAGCCTAGCATTAAATTTCGTACTACTTGTGACTTGATTCAAGTATTTGAAATAGGTAAACTATAGAGTACGCCATAAATATGGTTACAAAGTACTTGGCACAGAAATAGCAGAACGAATTGAAAAACACTGGAACTCTGCAGATATTTACAAGCGTCGTAGCAGCGGGGCATCTGACTTAGGCGCAATTGCCTCCGGTACGATTTACGGTTTGCAGAAGTAGGTTTCGGGAATGGCACACGGGGCTCCTTGGAGAATTTCGGGGTAGGTTTGTTTACTACTTCAGAGTTTAATTATGAAGCATAATATAGAGCAGCTTCACTACAAATATTCTTGGTTAACGTACGGAGAATTGCTTTTCTGTTTGACCCAGTGAAAAATCGGGAAACTATACTAGTCTCAAACCTTCTTTCACTGGGAGCCGTTCTTCCATCATGTAGAATGACCTAAACATTACCCTTCACGCAATTTTCTGCCAGCAGTATCTTCTTCTGAATATACATGACCATGAAATAAAGCTCTCGAGGGATCGTGCTCTCTGGACTAAAATGTTTCCCCAGTAGCACAAATTTCATTCTGAATCATCGCAGAAAGAGAGAAAAAACCCTTCGTCAAATTTACGAATCCTACAATTAGCA